AATCGTGATAATATCATCGGGGCCCAGTAACGGGCGGGGAACAGGCGTTTGGTCGTTTCCTTGGGTGGTGTGCGACAAAGGGCGAAAATTTTCGGCAACTACTGCGTTAGGAATGACGGACACCATTAAGGGGTCGAGGGAAGCGCGGAGGACTGTATTCTCTTTGCTACAGAAGGGTAATATGTCAGCATTCTTGCCAGCTGACCACCAGTTCGCACCCAAAGCGATCGTAGGCTTACCAAGTATGGCTGACGCAAATAACATGATCAACATCACTCAGGGTAAATTTCAGAAGTTTGTTCGTAAGAATTGAACCCGCATCTGCGAAACCAAACAACGAGTGGTCCGTAAAAACTGTGCGCAACCCCATAGTGCGCGCGTGGAGGATAGCTTCATGGCAAAAACTGCTCAGACTTTGATGTCCATGCACGATTTCAATCTGTTCGCGTATGATGATATTGCGAAAAATGGGGAAGAAAGAGAAGACAGTTGGCATAGTCGATTCGCGGTATATGACGAAGAACGGGGCATGGTAGACCTTGAGTCCATTCGTGAGATAACGCACTCCGGTCCGGCCTTTGTAGGCATGCGTGACAATGATTACTTTATGGCCTCTGTCTATTAATTTCTATAATACTAGTTAACACCTCGGGAGAGTATTGGATTGTATGCGGTAACTTTACTGACCGACGAGAGCTGGTATATGTGACTTTCCACTCCTCCTAGGTATTGTTAGCCATGCGCTGCGGCCTTCCAACACGAATATTCGGTTATACATCATACCAGGTTGGGGGAAGAAAAAGTCACTAATCATACTATCCCACTGTTAGTTCTCAGTCGTTCAGGAGGTTTTCGAAGGTTTCGGGGTGTGGAATAAGGGAGCTCACGCAATATTATACGTCATGTTGGCGATGGTGATAGGCTCTTCCACCACAGGTCCAAGGCATTCATGGCTTGCAGAGTGTTCCCTTTGTTCTCAAAACAATGCGGCTAACGGGGAAGGAGAAAAAAGACATTGAAGACGCTGTTGCTAGGAAGCGTGGGAAGAAACATCGTGTGAATGAAAGCATTTGACACCACCTTGAAGGCGGTGTGAGCTTTTTGCCACTATCAAGACAAATTATCTCGGGCAAAGCACAAATTCAACCTCAAAAGCTTGAGCCATCTCCACATCAGGCTCCATCCGAGATTATGGCTGCTCCATTCTACTCCAGATATATTCCTCCCAGGAATGATCTTCTACCAAAGCCTCCGGAAGACTTATTATCTCCAGCTGGATCTGAAAAACGGAAGCGAAAATCTGCACCAGTCGACGATGCTTCAGTCCCGGCATTCACTCCGGCCAAGAAGGCGAGGAAGCGTGAAAGGAACGAGAAGCCAGAGGTTTCTGTCGCGCTCTCACACTCTCAGAAGGGCACGTTTAAACGGGGCGACTCAGATTCGAACTCCTATTCGAAAGCAGAAAGTGATATTTCTCCACTCGCACCGCTGGAGCGGGTTCCGGTACAAATCAAAGACAATCCGCCAGAGGGACGGGAACAAAAGAAAGGCTCGAGAAAGGACAGCCATGAAATATCAGGGTCTCACAGCACAGTTGAGGGGTCTACGGATTCGGTGAGCGTACCGAGACAAAGGGGGGATATAATTCAGGGTACGGACCCGTCAGACAGGAAGGGGTTTAAAAAAAGGAAATTATATCGGGAAGGTGATGCATCGACTATAACTGTACCGGTAAAGCATGCCGGGATTTTATCAAAGTTCGAGAAGTCGAGGTTGACGGCTGCATCGGTAGCTACTAAGAGAGACACCTCAAACATCGTCGAGTCGCTGGGCAGTGAGGGTATCACCCCTCATGGCCTTGAACCACTCCCGCAGCCTGCGCCTGCACCAGCCCATATCGAATCCCCGCCATACTCTACGCTTCCTTCGTGGCTTTCTCAACCTTTCGCTGCCACCACCTTGTTGCAACGGAACTTCGCAAACCTGGGACTAAACAAAAATCTTATTTCTATTCTTCAGAAACGCGGGTATACCACAGCTTTCCCTATCCAGGCAGCCGTTTTGGAACTACTTGGTAATGGAGAACATCAGCATTCAGGGGATCTTTGCATATCGGCTGCCACAGGTTCTGGGAAAACTCTGGCATATGCTCTCCCACTAGTAGCAGGTATCGAACAATTACCCCTAGCTAGATTGCGAGGACTTGTTGTTGTGCCTACACGGGAGCTTGTTAAGCAGGCTCGTGATGCTTGTGAACTATGTGCTACCAGAACAGGCCTGAGGATAGGAACAGCTGTTGGTACGGCATCATTAAAGGAAGAACAAGCGCTGCTTATTAAACACGATCAACTCTACTCTCCCTCTAATAGACGAATAGGAAACGGCCACCAGATGATCGCTGAGTCATGGGCTTCCTTCAACTTCCAAGAGTATATCACCGAAGTTGAGAGGTCTCATTCAGCGTTTCCCGACCATGTTACAACCCCCTCCCCCAACATTGACATACTAATATGCACCCCAGGCCGACTTGTTGACCACATCCGGTCTACTAAGGGATTTAGCTTGGAACATTTGGAGTGGTTAGTGATTGATGAAGCCGACCGTCTACTCAACGAAAGTTTTCAAGAATGGGTTGAAGTTGTGATCCCGGCCCTAGAGAGAGTCAGAGTGGATGTCGCTGGCAAAAGTGGGCGGATTCTACCCGACTTAGGATGGCAGATCTGTAAACCTCGACTTCGGAAGATCATCCTTAGCGCCACCATGACAAGGGATATCGCGAAACTGAATTCTTTGCGATTGCAAAATCCAAAACTTGTCTCTACCACTCCTGGAATCAATGATGCAGCGCCGCTCCCATCAGAAGGGAATGGAGATATTACCCATAAGGACGACCATGCATTCAGTCTACCTTCAACTCTGCGAGAAGTGTTTGTTCCAGTTGGCGATGCCGCAGATAAGCCTCTCTATCTCCTTACTCTATTACTCTCACATTTTAAATCGGATGATGGCCACGTTACGAACCTTCGGCGACAGCGTTCTCATTCGATTACATCCGATTCAAGTTCCACCGATTCATCTTCAAGCCTATCGGGCAATAGCTCCTCTGGCGAGTCCTCAGCTGTCTCATATAGCTCCTCTGGTACTGGTTTTTCAGACGAATCTTTAGTCCACGGCGACAACTATAAACCAATCGTGGCATCCCCGCCTTCTGTTTTGGTCTTTACCAAATCTTCCGAATCGGCATCAAGACTCGCTCGTCTACTTGTACTCATGCACCCACCGTTTGCCAACCGTATCGGTACTTTGGCAAAGTCAAGCAAGTCTAGTACGTCTCGTAAAACGATCTCTGCATATCGCAACGGGAAACTATCGATTGTCATCGCTACTGATCGTGCGTCTCGCGGCTTGGACCTGCCTTCTCTTACTCATGTCGTCAGTTATGACATTCCGACCAGCCTGACGTCGTATATTCATCGCGTCGGCCGAACAGCTCGTGCTGGTCGATCAGGGTCGGCGTGGACACTGGTAGCTCACAGGGAAGGTAGGTGGTTTGCCAATGAGATCGTGAAGTGCCCGGAATCAACTGTCGCAAGAACGGGGAATGTTGAAAAAATCACCATCAAACTTGATGAAGGTGTTGATTTGAAAACGAAGTATTCGGATGCTTTGCGGTTATTGCAGGCAGAGGTAGAGGAGGATCTTACTAAGTACAAACCGGGGAAACCTAGGGGCTGATAATCCTTGGGTCGCCTGTATATTCCTACGAATTTCGTTGTAGAGGTGTTTATTATTAAACTTATTCGTGTTCATAGATCATGTTCGCAGTTCTTGCTAAGACTCTCACTATTATTCTTGTATTCGTTGCCTTTCTTACTCTACTACTTATCCTCCACGATATTAATCCAGCGAACCTAGTACTTTGAAGACGTATGTCACTTTTCTATCTTTTTCATAAAGCAAGTGGCCGTTCCAAAAGCTCAGAGCAATCTTAGTGATGTAATGTACTCCGTTTTACACCTTGGGTGAGCTAATGTGTACATACATACATACATATCCGTGCCACTCCCTACGTCCAAGTTGAACATTGTCTGAAAATCAATCCAGACCATGGCTTGAACCAAGGCCCTACCTACGTCAGCTCCATCCAAAATACACATACACTTATGGACTGATTTCTTCACACAACATAAACTGACTATAATTTGAAAGGTAGAAATTTTTTTCGATCATTCTAGAGAGTAACTACTCTGTACGCCTTAATCTTCAATGTAACTATGTGGGAATGAATATTGAGACATTGAGAAGCTACCTATGCGTATGGGATTGACATGGCTAGAAATTTTGATTTTTCTTTTCTAACCTTCTAACCATGTTCAACTAGAAGGATCAGCATTCATTCACAATAGATTAACATCAAACCTTAAGCAAGGTTGAGAAATGGAGTGATTCTAAATAATTTTAAGCATCATGCTGAATTATATGTACCGCAGCCTTTAGTGACATTTGAGTCAAATATATATTTTATACTAGTGTTACAATGAGCACACATTGATGATACTGATTATATCAGTAATTGAGATCCTCTCATTAAAGATTGTATGTAATAGAGATCTATATTGAAAGAGAGCTCTAGACCTAAGAATCTACTAAATACCTCTGAGAGTCTTAATACTCTGAGATCTTTATTCTCTGAACTCTCTATACTTAAGAGTCTATTCTGAAAGAACTCTATATTGAAGAACTCTATATCTGAGAAAGCTCTACTATCTCTGAGAGACTCTATACTCTGTATCTGAAAAGCTCTATACCTCTATATACATATTTCTCAGATATAGAGACTCTCTGAGCATAAAGACTTCTCAGGTATAAAAACCTCTAAATAGAGCTCTCTTTCAATGTGCGTCTCTATTTATACAACTTTCAATGAAGATCTCAATTACTAATACAATCAGTATCATTGATGTGTGCTCATTGTAACACTGTATAAACCTACTTGACTCAAATGTCACTATAGGCTGCTGTAATAATTGATGTGTGTTCTATATAATGAGTATTGTAAATAAAATAAAATAAAAAAAGAAATAGAAAAAAAAAAGGAAAAAAGAAAAAGGGCGTACAAATGCCTGAATTAAAATTTAAATTAACTATATTAATATTGTATGATTACCAAGGGGAATATATCTGTAGAGATCTGCATAGAACGGGGAAGGATGGGGACCAGGCTTATAAACAAAACTGAGAGAGTATGGCAACCAGTTGAAAGGAATCCAAAGGAGCCATAGCAAAATATTAGCTACATAATATGGTATCATAGGGGCCCGCAAAAGCTGAAATAAAGGATTAAAAAGCAAATTACTTTCCTTGCAACATAACCGTGTTTTTCGGGATATATACTTGTCAAGGAGCGAAGAAAAAAACAGTGAGAGACACAATTAAATACTCTTGCTTGAGGGCAGGTCTCAAAGCAGGGTAAACGCTGCTGCAGCCATTGCAGCAGCGCTGAAAAAGTATTTTGATGATGGAATGAGGATAGAGTTTGCGCTACTTGGGAAGTCAATCGGGGGGGAATCGCTAGGGCTCCCTCCAGTTGGACCCGATTCAGTTGGTGACATTTCGTCTCCACCTCGACTTGATTGTGTGGGACTATTTGATACCGGAGGAATTTCACTTGGTGGATCTGTGGTGGCAGTTGGAGTAGTTCCAGCCCCAGTTTCCGTCGGCGGTGTGGTTTCCGACGGGACATCGGTAGGACTGACAGTGTCGGATGGGTCATTTGAGGGCGGAGTTGTGGGAGGTTCTGTGGGAGGTTCTGTGGGAGGTTCTGTGGGAGGTTCTGTGGGAGGTTCTGTGGGAGGTTCTGTGGGAGGTTCTGTGGGAGATTCTGTAGGAGATTCTGTAGGCGTTTCTGTAGGCGTTTCTGTAGGCGTTTCTGTAGGCGTTTCTGTAGGCGTTTCTGTAGGCGTTTCTGTAGGCGTTTCTGTAGGCGTTTCTGTAGGCGTTTCTGTAGGAGTTTCTGTAGGAGTTTCTGTAGGCGTTTCTGTAGGAGTTTCTGTGGGGGATGGGTCCGGTGTTGAGGTAGGAGTAGTAGTGCTTTGCGCCGGGGGTGGGGATGTTTCACCTGGCGGCGCTTCACAGATATCTAATATGCTCACGAAGTTCGGAGCTTTCTCTCGTAGCTCTTTTTCAGGATCCTTTGTATTGGCTTGGATAGCAATGCACCGATGGCATGCTTCTAGACGTGCCTTAAATGCCGAGTTCTCGACGCAGATGACGGCTGCAAGCAAGCTATTTTCGGCTTCTAAGCCGCTAGCTTGGCACTGAAAATAGCAGGCGCGAGGCAACGTATTGCCAGTTTGTCTTCGCTGCAGGGTCGAATATTTTGTCGCGTATTTTGTCGCATACCCTGTTGGATACCCTGCTGTAGTATACTCTGCTGTAGTATACTGGGTCGGGTTCTGAGTTGGATATTGTGGCGGGTACTGGGTTGGAGATTGGGCTGGGTAGGATGTTGGATATGGCTCCTCCGGGGTGGAATTCCTGAACTCGAAGATATCATAGTCCAGTCCAAATAGTCGAGGATTAAGGTAGTAATAGTGTGGTGAGACGATAATTTTGTCCGATGAATCAGGATCCCAGTCGTCTTGGAAGGGTTCAAGAGGAGGGGGGTCATGGCACTCCTCTGGACTGCAGAAGAATTCGGGTGAAGGAAGCCCAACCTCGAAGTTGCAGTCTCCATCCGCTTCATTGCGATTTGGGATGCATAACTTACCGGGAGGACAGCCCCAGATATAATCGGTAGGAACAGGAACAGTAGGTGTAAAGGTGGGGTTAACTGTGCGGGATGGACAGAGAGAGACGGCATAAGTTGCAGTCTGTGTCACTGTGTCTGTAGAACAACTGCCTGGTAAAGTTATACTTATAGTCTCGCCAGGAGCAGTCGTGGTTGTTATAGTGGTCTCAGTTGTAGTTGTAGGGACGGTGGTGACGGTAGTTTCAGTGGTAGTAGTTGGGACGGTGGTTACTGTAGTTTCTGTTGAAGAGACTGTGATGGTGTGATTCTTTGTCTCGGTGACGGTTACAGTAACTGGATAGCCGGGACGGCGGCAGGTCCGTGTATGATGATGCTTCATAGTACGAAAGTTAGCTTCATCCCGAAGCCATAGTTAGCGGTGACAGGATGAGTCCTTACATTGCACCATGAGATAAGTATCGCTGCATCAATGTCTATTAAGGCAGGACGGCCTGACTTCCCGCCAGCAGCTGCTGAGGGTTGGTTCCCTATATTGACCCCTACCTTGACCCCGATGTTATCATTCTGAGCATTTCCCGGTAGTACGCACATGGAGGCCCAGGTCAAAGCAAGCAGGAGTAATGCCATGATGAAGACCTATGGGGAGCGCCCAAGTACGCGAAGGAGGTTGAATGGCCGACCACCCTGCTGTTGCCCGTGAACAGAAGAACAGGCCCGGCGAAAAGGCAAATTTATCTTCAAGACAAATAGCAAGAGTGAGAAAGAAAATGGGAGGAAGATCGGATGAGTAGATGTTGTTATACTTTCGAAAGTGACATGAATAGGGGAAGAAAGGGGAGTAGCAACAAATTGATAGCATGAGACGGGAAAGGGGAAGAGCGGCTTCTTGATTTTTCAATTTATTTATTTTTTATTTATTTAATTTATTTTTTCTCAATTGAACTGAAAATTCAAGCTGCATTAGCTTCACTGCATCTCGAATGGAAGCTGACAATGTGAGAGCTCTCTAGGCGGGTTTGAGGGAGGGTCATTTGGGGCTCAAAAATAGGCGACGTCCCGCATTCGCCAAGGCGGCTAAATTTGCCCTAAGCTTTCAATGATCCCCGTCTGGTACCTACGCTGGGCAGGCCTGAAATGGGCGAGCCTGGCTTTCCGCCATTTGTTGATCAGCCAAGAATGATTTTGTCTCGCTGCACGGACTATCCAATGATAGGCCTTTTTAAAAAGGTTCCTGTTAGGAAGCGTGTTTAAGCTGATGTCTCTATTCAATTAGAAGGCATAGTAAACAAGACCAGTAAGAGTGACTTAAGTCGCGGATGTAGCAGCGAAGCACGGACAGGGGGGCCACAACTTTTGGGCAGCAGTGGTACGGAGGTACAGCACAATTTCGTTCTGGTGAGAAACCCAGGAGGGGCTCTCGTCAAGCACATATCGAGCCAGAGCACGGCCTGCAGCTAGAGGTGCGCCTTGATTTTAGCTGCAGCGTGGCGCACCAAGAATGGACGTGGGGAGGAACAAGATGGGATGTTCTCCGCCTCCCACCGGGAAACTGAAAATGCATATCATTTTAGTCATGGAGCCTATGTAGCTCCGACGGGCTCTCAAAGTATCTCAAATCAGATTTGGGTTAGCTGATAGAAGCGCTAAAAGGGGTTAAGGCTGAAAATGTGTTCGGAAGGCTGTCATGGAAGATATTGTTGAGGTGCAAAGCTCGGACACGCTGATCCTAGACCAGACCCACGTTCAAAAAAAGCCAGCTCTCTCGGGGAATGGTGATGTTGATGTCGCACACGATTTTAAATCCAGCCACACTACACAGTAGACTTCCATCCATGGTTACATGGCTTCTTTTTGGCCGAATACACATGTAGCCACAGACGGTTCGAGTAAATGCGGCCTGAGAAGGATTCATTGACCTGGACGCTGGAGCCCATTTACCTAGACCCAGCACCGATACGAGCTTGATGGCCACTCATCCGCCAACTGTTTATGGGAGCCTCGGGAGGGCACGCAAACAACGTAGACCAAGGCTAGCAGTGAGGGGAAGAGGGGCGATAATCCTGGACGCTCGTGGAGATGGTTACGCTGTGCGGACATGGATAGACGTTGGATACGTGTTTTGGTTTTGAGAGCGCTTGTGCTCGCGACCGCGGATCAAGGTTGTTGCGGCCCGGCGGAGACGAGACTAATTTAGTTAAACAACCACCGAGCAGGACCTTGACACTGACTACGGAGTACTCTACAGAGTACTACACTGTTGACATGTTGACACCCAGTCATCCTTGTTCTTGAGATATGATATTCCCACATAGATCGTCGGATATGCCCGATTTGGGCCTAGTGAGTTGCTTGCGGCGTGCTTGGGGCCTGCAGGCTGGAAGGGAGAACGCCCAACTTGTTCAATTACTGATGATGGCTGCATTGACCCTCCAACCGGCCCGGCCTTCCAATGCTGTGCCGCACTTTACGCCCGTTTTCGGGGGCTATCCCAGCCTATCAGACCGAGCCTCCTGCAGGTGCGTTGTGCGCTTCACAGCAGACTCAAGAGTTAGTACGCAGTAGATGTCGGTGCAACCGTCGCCCACTAATATTATTCCTCTTGTTCGTCCTCCCCTCACACCTCAAGGAAGGGGACCTCGCATCTCACATCTGCCTGTGTAACTCTGGGAGGTATTGCGCTGATGTTGTGGTCGAGGTTCTTGGGATTCATGTAGCTATCCACCCCAAGATCTTAAAACGGACGAAGTCTCCGTCAGCAACCATCCCAGGATGTTGGGGGTCCCGGGTTGATCGGCCCTTCTACCAGCAGTGCGCTGGTGGTGACTGAGCTCTTTTGCCCCAGTAGCCTACAGGTTATGAGACCATTTAGCGTGAGCCCCGCTGTGGTCAACATGCATGGGTTCAATCCCAGAATGGACTTAAATTCCAAACAAATACCCCGGACATTTAACAGTGTCAAGAGACATCCTAGGAGTGTGCCCTAGAAGTCCCTCGAGCCCTAGGACTGAGTCCACTGAGAGGAGCCACTAGGAGGAGCCACTGAGAGGAGCCACTGAGAGGAGTACTGTACTCTGTGGTAGCTGGTCCGAGGGGGGGTGTTGGGGGTCCCGGGTTGATGACAAACATTCTGCGTCCGGGAACCTCAATAATCCCACATTACCACCCAAGGCTTTTATTTCAGCCATTTTGCCACAGATCATGACATACAAAGCATTCCATAAGCAAAGCCGCCCGGTCACGAACCATGGCGAATTCTTGCTGCTACGTCTGTGTTTCCCGAGGGGTACAGAGCACCTCGTGTTCAATCATCGCTTAAAACAAATCATTCAGTCGTTGACACGACGACCGACTTTCAAACAGTACCTCTGTCCACGAGCTGCAAGCCATCACTCCCAGGATTATTTTCTTTGCCCGTGGGAAGAAATGTGGAAATTAACATGTAGATGTTTCCAGGAATGAAAGGCAGCCACACACTAGTCTGTCCATGCGCATGAAATGGGCATAAGCCTGGGTGATCACTTGGGATCGGTGAGGTGATACAAAACGAATTCAAGCTGTTATTAATAATAATTTGGATGATGGATCAAACATTTGTTCGACTGCCATCTCATGCGAAAAAGCTGGAGTGAGATGGATCTTCTAGCCAATACTTATTAAACCGACAACAGCGAGCGTCGTAAACTAGCCAATATGAGATGGATGAAGAAGCAGGGCTTCAGGTCCATTGGAATCACCACCCACTCAGTATTCGGTATGCCTAATATGGCATCTCCAAACAATATTGTCTTATCAAAATTAGCTTCTGGGACCATTTACAAAAAGAAATTCATGGGTCACTAAATACCTGCAGCGCAATTCGGGTGAAAGAGATAATATTCCCAACACAGCACCAAAATCGCGAACGACAGTCATGACATGGATTTGCTAAACTCATCAAAGGGAAATGGACACGGAGACCCCTGTCACTAGGCAAAGACCGCGGCCAAGCTCCTTCATCCACGCTGATTGGGGCGACGGATTCAGCCGCCTACTCTGTTTAGCATCTGGCTCCCGCACCTGCGAACCCGAAGTCGAAGCTGGACCAAGACCGTCTAGCTGTTCCCAGCTTTCTTTCCTACCATTTATTGTCAAATTGTAAATGTCTTGAACTGAATCCAAATATAAGACTATTGTCCATTCATCAAGCGCCACCTCTTCTACTGTGGCTACCAAGCCAGTACTATACCAAACTCTACGGAGTACGCCGGCCGATATTACTATATGCCCCGCGTTTAAGAAAACTCGAGTAACGAGGACTAAAACTATCCGCTCCACCTGGCGCCTATTGTTCCATCACTCTGCTTTCCGTCTCATCTCCGGGCTCAGCTTCCTTACCTTATCACGCTACAGTAATATGAAGGTCGCAAGGCGATACTGAACGCAAATTTAGTCCAGAAAGTCGCATTTTACATTTGAGTTTGTCTTGTTCAGCATCCCTAAAGGTTGACCTACAACTTGGCGTATCTTTCGATGGTCATCAAAAAACTACCCCTGTTCATCGGGATTCATCCTCTTGTATGAGATATGAGATTCACTGCGTGGCTCTGCTTTTAACCCTTTCTTCATACCCTATTCTTTACTTTACAGACCTCGATCCGAAAATATCCCAATGGCGCTACGGTGGATAATCGCGACTACAGCCTTTTCTGCGCTTTGGAAGGGGACCACTTCACAAGGACCCCAGGTTGAGGTTAATAAAACCATTGCTACTTGGCCTCTCTTAAGAGGTAAGTAAGTTTACCATGCCAACAAATGGATGCGCCGTGGTTTAACCTCCAGATGCTCTACATTTTATCTTCGATTTCTTCTCCAAGTCCTCTATTAATACTTGGTTAGCGAATATCATCCGCGATACAATTTACCTCGATGGTGGACAAATGTCTTGGCAACGGTATTAACCTATCAGTCGCGGATAGCTTGCTTTTGTGATGCTGACTTGAACTTTCCTATGAAGGGGCTACTCGGATGGTACCTATGGACAGTTTGAAATAACCAGTGATTCCTTACCCTATCTGTGTCCTATATTTTATTGCAGTTTCTAACCACATCGCAGATCTTGCCGATGGCTATGCCTTCACACTTAACTTGTCTGTCCCATTTGACACTACAAAAGTTCACTGGACAACCCTTTTCGGCAATATGTCAAGTGTTTCGGGGGCTGCCAATAATATTTTCCCAAACTTCTTCTCGGGAACGATGTTTGCAAATGATTATATGTTCTATTTATATGGGTACGGTTCAGGCTTTGGGCATATTAGAGACTTTGGTTAGCTAACTGAGACAGCGGCCTCACTACAATCACGGATACAAGTAGCCCTCCCGAGGCAGATAGAGTACTAGCATATGAACGAGACCAGTATGGCCCTGCGAGGATCAGATGGAGGCCTGGATTCCGTTTTGATAGAACGAACAACGGTGTCACCCGCTATATTACCCACGGTGCCGGGGTCTCAGTGCCGAGTGAGAACAAGGGCTTTTACTTCAGTGGAAAGCGTGGAGTGAACTGGGGAGAAATTCAAAATCCTGTGCCGGCTGCGAATATAACTGCAAATAGCCTAATTTCTATCGATATGTCCAAAATGATCGATCCAGAATGGTCAAATTCCAGCTTTCCAGATTTTATTCCGGGTCGGGCTGCTGGAGAGTTGGTATGGATTCCGGTTTCCACATCAGGAGCGCTTATTGCGATAGGCGGAGTGCCATACCCCCAAGACATCTCCGTTACCCCAGCAGATAATATCATGCGTGACATAAGGGAGAATGTAAGCAGCCGGAGAACAATTTACACCTTGCAGTCAGGTCATATATCCCTGCTGGGAATATTTTTTACTTACTACTTCCATAGAATCGAACGGGACCCGGGTTCATGCGCAGCGTGCCCATATATGATATTGGCAACGGGAAGTGGTAGGTTTGGTTTACCAATGACTTTCAGTACATCTGAATCTCCATTGATTGCTTATATTATTCTATTTTCAGGTATATGCAAAATACCACGGGAGATTATCCACCAACGTTGGCTCATTTCTGTTCCATTGTTGCCGCGGCACAGGATGGTAGTTCGTACAATGTTTATATTTACGGAGGCTACAGTGGTAGCGACTATTCGGAATTTTCTTACGATAATGCTTACATACTTTCGGTCCCGTCCTTTACATGGATCCATGCATATGATGGAGATAGGAGAGTAGGCCGCCACGGACACAAATGTGTTAAAACATATCCCGATAAAATGTTTGTGATTGGTGGCGTGGAGCGATATGTGGAAGATCGAATACCTATAATCCGTGTTTTCAACCTCAATACTTTAAGGTTCCAAGATACCTACCATCCAGAAGAATGGAGTGAGTATGAAGTGCCAAACTTGGTGACCGCGAAGATTGGTGGAAAGTAAGTGATATTTGAATGATGTTCTTGTTGACTTTGACAGGTGCTGATTTTGTCGATAGTGCCAAGGGTGGTGCAACAACTCTTGAACCTTCGTCGTGGGGTCATGACGATTTACGTGACTTATTTGGTACCAAGTATACGAAACCCATCGAGACTTACTATCCCTACCCTCTGTATAACTCTTCCAGGCCAAGCCCTACAAAGCCACCCGAAGACACCAACGGTGGTGGTGGAAATGGTAGCGGGCTTCCCAAATGGGTTGCTCCAGTGCTGGGTGTTGTTTTGGGCCTGATATTTGTAACAGGCCTGGCTGTACTTTGGCTCCTATGGCGCCGGCGACGGGATAGGGTGTATGCAAGCAGCGAAGGGGTTATCAGTGATAACAGGAAACGGATTATGGGGTGGATGTACGGAATGGGCTTACCGACCCAGAAAACCAATATGACAATGGCCTCTACGGAGATTGGAATCAATGACAAACATACGTCAGCAGCTGCGTTTTCCGAAGTGGGCGATTCAGTGACAACTGCGGCTCCGCATTCGGGAATGGTGTATTCAGACCCAAAGGCACAAGAGGCTGGTGGGGCGCAGGTACATGAAATGCAAGGTAACTATGTCAAGAAATTCCTCGGCCCATCTCCGTTGAACGTGGCCCATGCTGACCTGTTTTCTTTTTAGCTGGACATGTCTCTGCGCCTCTTGAACTACCAACGGAATACAATGTCGCGCCCACCACAACTCGCGCACGAGTAGTTAGCGACGCTTCAACCTTTAGAAGTCCAGTTTCCCCGGAACCTCCTTCACCCCAGCCAAATCCAACTTTTCCTTCCCAACCTACCCATGGCCGGAATAACTCGTCTCTCTCGAGCACTGCGTTCAACCTTTCCACCAGTAACGCCCCAATAACGGAAGAACAGAGTTCGCAGAGACGCGGATACGTATCTGGGTTTACTGAAGACCTCCCAAATCCAGAGCCTGAGCCGACGGGCCGCACGAGCAGGCTTTCATGACGCTATTTCGCCAATTATTTTCCTTCTCCTTTCAGTCGGTATTTTCCGCTTTGATTCTAATCTTTTATGGCCGATCTATAAATGCTTTGCATTACGGTGATGGATATGATTTTCGCATTATATTTTACGTAGTTCCTCTCAAGCCGCGCCGAATTTGCCCGGAGTTTCTAACCAAGTCGATATATATCTCGGGGGTAGTTTCCCACGTCTCGGCAATTCCCGTATTTTGCCAACTCTGTCTACCTACACTCCATTCCTGTTTACTCCCTACCTCATCCCAATCATTTATTCCGGAAACTGGTTTTATAGTTGAAGATTTAGGTTTGCACTTGCCTCGAGAGATATTTCCCGGCTAGCTAGCGCATTATAAATCGGGATATGCATTCTGATATTGCCCCTGGGAACAGGTAGTCAAGATTGATAATACAAAGGCTAGAATGAATAATATTAATCCTGTGTTACTGTAGTAGAAGAGATAAATTCCTCGCTCCTGATCTTGTCCTACTAATAATGGACTTATGACGTTAAAAGCATGTATTACAGTTCTAGTGCCGGGTAATCTAACAGGAACTACTTTTATCTTACCTTGCAAACTCGAAAACGAGAATATATTGTTATATCGATAGATACCATAAATGCAAAATGAAATCCAGTATTCTATATCAAAACAAATGGGGTGTGCTAAAGAACAAAATAGATCCAAAGAAACAGCATGCACAAAAGAGTGTATCCGCCATTTATAGTGGCGAAAAGAGAGACAAACCTCCACCCTTTTTCAAATTCTAGCAAGGAAAGAGGCTTCCAAGTCACCGCCACGGCCACCCACACGGACCCATTGATTATTATGCGGCCTGCTTAAGACACTCTTAATCTGCTCCACGGTGACCTGCCTTACTTCCGTGGCAGGGTTATAACTCACCCCTGAAACCCCGGAGACCTCATTATCGGTCATGGGAGCATTTGCCAACCCATCCGCGCGCTTATACACAGACACCACAGCAACACCGTCTAGGCCCAGATTATGCTGCAGGGCCACAGTTGTGTACGGCGCAAGTCGATTATTCGCCCACCCTCTGAGTTGCCAGACCAGCTCTGCGCATTGAGCGAGCCCGGTGGCGCCTAGAGGGTGGCCCTTGGAGATCAGGCCGCCGGATGGGTTGACGACTACGCGACCGCCATGAGAGATGTTTCCGCTGCGGACGAATTGGCCAGCCTTACCGGGCTCGCATAGTCCCAACGCATCGATGGTGGCCAGCTCGTTGGCGGCGAAGCAGTCGTGCAGCTCGCAGACGCCTACGCGTGCGACTGGCGTGTTTGCTTCTGCGAGCGCGGCGGCGACCGCACGCTTTGTCATCTGGAATCCGACGAGATCCATGGATGAGGATCCAAATGTCTCGGCTTGGTCACTAGAATTCTGTAAATCGGGCTGGATCGCAAGACGTATTTTTTTTTTTTTTTTTTTTTTTTTTTTTTTTTTTTTTTTTTTTTTTTTGGGGGGGGGGGGGGGAAGAGGACCAAGGGATTTCCAGAAAGAGAGAGAGTTGCTTACGTGACTATTGCTTGCCCTGCGATTTCAATAGCTTTGCTCTGGGGCTCGGGATGCTTGTGCAGCCACCGTTCTGACACAAGGACAGCAGCAGCAGCGCCGTCGGAAGTCGGGCAGCTTTTTTGCCATTGGAAGGAGATATTAGTAACGGTTACGGTCCCGCGCTGCGTAGACAGCCAAACTAGGCGGGAAAACTCACCATTGCAGCTTTGTGACTGGGCCATAAAGTGCGGGGCTCTTCATGATCTCATCGAGTGTGTATATTGTGGCTGTAGGGGTTCTTCGCACTGTTTAGGTGGTTGACTCTGGCTATTTCGGCTAGTCTGGTACAGCATCATGTCTTGATAGCAAAAAGAGATTGATTAGTTGCACACGGGAAGGATGCTTCGAGCGGAACACGGAATAAGAAAAAAAAAGGCAGTGTAATTAATACTTTTCAATATATTCCAACCCTGCATTGCCGAACAGGCTGATGTTTCCCGGCTCGCTGTTTGGGTTGAGGTCGAACATCTTCTCAGCATGGAGGCCCTGCGGCACGGATCGGTCGGTGAAAAATTTCTTCAGGCGACCAGCCATCATTTTTCAAAACCAATGACCAAAGCGATATCTGCGCCACCCAGGCTGAGGGATTGGCGAGCAAGATAAAGACCTGACGAGCCAGTCGTGCAGGCATTGTTGACGTTGATAATCGGGATACCGGTCATACCTGTTTCTCCCATTATATCGTATAGTACGGAGTGAGTAAGTATGGAATGGAATCCCTATACGGAGCAGGAGGGAAATGAAGCGGGCTATCTATACCGAACTGGTAGAAGACTCTCTGGCCCGAAGTCGAGTCGCCATAGGCATAGCAGGCAAAGCCCTGTTCAACTTCGTCGTAAGTGATTCCAGCATCTAGAAGGGCTTTTGTGCCAGCCTCAAGGCCCATCTGGGGATAATCTCTCTTGGGATTTGGCTTGAGGAAAGGCGACATGCCCACGCCTAGCACATAGACGCGATCGCCAAGTTGGCGCCGTGATTGGGGCGCCATTGTTGCGGGGAATAGATGCGATTTGTAGCTGTGGAAGTGGTACCCGACACGGAGAGACAAGGAAATTCTACGGTGACGATGGCATATTATATAGTTAGTTATAGCACAGGACAGATAACTAATAGCTAAAAAATCGAAGCCTGAAGATAAACAAATCGAACGACTATTATAGCCAACCCGGTTCAAGTTTTCCATCCTCCGCTTCGGAAGTTTGGCGAGAGTCTACAGATTACAGCTAACGTACTGCGTAGTTACTCCATTGTAGTTAAACAAAGAGCCGGCTGTAGCCTGGGAGTTGGTAGATAGCCGGAGCGGCGACGAGGTTGCGGGTGTGGGGTAGATAATATTTTAATATTGTGGAATATTTTTTCGAGCGGTTCTGGCTTTGAGAGCGATTGTGAAGAACCTTGCAAGTTGCAAAAGGTAGAGCCGGATAGCCAAGAGCCAATCCGCGGGCCGAGGTGTGTGTGTTGTGTTGTGTGTTGTGTAACGTTATATGTTTGTTTGTACGGAGTACGGTGGTGAGCGGGTGAGATAGGTAACTAACTAGTTAACTTATTAGAGAGTTCGATATTCTTTCTTGTCTGGACTCATAGATCCCACAGGTCAGAGGCATATAAATAATAATAATAAAGACGCCATCATCCCTTCTTCTCGCTCGCCTGGCGAGAAATGAGAGTAGAATTAGTTTAGTAGAATTAGTAGAATTTAGCAGAATTGGCCCGTTCTAACTATTTACCTGGGAATGGACGAGATGAGGAGGTGAGGTTGAAAAAAGAGTGCTTAGTCAACTCTAGCATCAGAATCTCTCCAACACACACACACAACGACACATATAAGTTATACTAACCATAGCTATTATTATTATAGACAGAGTATAGATACGCGGCTTAGCATATCTAACCTCCCTCTCTGTCTTCTCACCCGTTTGGATCCTGCCATGATTGTTGGAATTATGTATGTACGTTCAGCGTGTTCTTGTACAGTAACTAAGTATCCACACCCAGAAGAGAGGAGAAAATGCTCATTCCAACAATGCGAGTTAGCCTCGGACCCTGACTGCTCGCGGATCAACTTGGGTGGGGGGACATAACTATATTAATTGGACATTGAATGCCCCGGCGGCCCTATCTCTCAATATTACAGAGTATGCTGCTAGCTGCTATCACTAAGTTAAGTTACCCTATTAGGTTATTAGTCGGCGTTGATAATAGGCACAGGCACAAGATACCCATAACTTTCTGAGCGTGGGACCAAACCAACCGCAATAATGACGCCAGGATCAATCTCCAGCAAGCCGCGAAGAGTGGTTTCAATGCCACATGAAAAATTCGGCAAAAATGGGCCAGAAAACATGCGCCAGCCTAGGTTACAGAAGCTTGTCTCCCGTCCCGGGGCTCTTCTCCTCCAAAAACTGCTGAGTCAGTAAGTTAGTAACTAACTTAGCCGGCCGCTAAACTGCCGCCAATTCGTCCCCAGAAAACAGCTGCCCGCACTCCCCAAGAGAGAAGCGATGGTCGCATGGAGCCCGCAGAGGGCAGTTATATATAATATAATATCCAATATATATCACCGGATGGACCTTGACCTGAGAGGCGCTCTTCTTCTCCCCTTTCAAGCTCTTTCAATCACCAAGGTGCGCGCCCTCGAAATTGGCCTATATGCCTGGAAAGTGTGAGGCAGTTAAAAGCCGCTGGGAACCTCTAGTCCGTAAGTTAATTATAACTTACATATTATCTATCTACATACCATTACCACCCAGCGCAGACAACCACAAAGGACAACAGGGAGGAATCCCCAGCTCAGCTTCAATTATATCTTATTTGATCATCCTTTCAACGTTTGTACGCTTTTATTCCTTCTCTTCTCTTCTCTTCTCATTTCTTCTCCTTCCCTCGTGGCTGCCGTCTTTCACGGCGCCTGCGCTTCTCCTCCTCCTTCCCCAAGCTCTCTCCTGGTCGGTCGTCTCCTTCCTCCGCTCATGGATAAACAACAATAACAACAACAACAACTACTACTACTACTACTGACAGATAAATAATCTTCCTCCCCCTATATTGTTTATCTCTCCTCCTCGCCTCTTCTTATCCTCTTTTCCCTCTTGATATATCAACCGTTCCTCGTTCGTTTACCTCCCTCAAGCTGAGCATCATCATCAGCCAATAGCATTACCACTGGTATATCTTCCTCTTCGTCTCTCTCTCGATTCGCCTATCCTACCTACAGCCCAGTTGGAAAGCTTCTGTTACCTTTTTTCCTGTTTAGTCCTCTGCTTGGGCCCACAGTCTCTCGTTTCATCACAGACAGAGCAAGCCATCTCACTGTCAAGGATCCTCCCACCTAGTTAGATAGATCCTCTCGACGCTGTCCTGCCCTGCTGGTCTTGGTTTTTCCATTTTAGTAAACTGTTGCTGTTGATACGCCATTTTTTGTTCCTCTAGCACGCCAATTGATCGCTATGGCTTCTCCGTTGTCTTCCACCCCGGTTGAGATTTTGGAGAGCCCTTTGGCTCCGGCGCCCGCAGCAAATACCGTCCTAACCCCGCTACAATGGAAAACGCTCATGGCCCTGGCGGACACTGTTATCCCCTCAATCAGACCAAAAAGTGCCGGAGGGTGCCCGAGTGACTGTATGATCAATGATGCTGAGTTTGCCATTGCATCTCATAACCTTATGTCCATCCATGAAGGTTCTGCACACTCCGATGTTGCCGTCCGCTTTCTCGCGGAAAATGCGTCTTCTGTTCCCGGATTCAAAGAGAGCATGTGTCGTGTTCTCGGTCAGCAAGTCCCGGACGAAGCTAGGCGCGGCATCAGCGTCATCCTCAACGCCCTTAATAGTCGCCCCGTTTCCCTCGCCTTGACCGGATATGCTGCCCCTATTCAGTGTCAGCCCTATCCTATTCGCGAAGCAATTTTTCGGGGCTGGGCTACTTCAGTTCTTCCACCAATGCGCACCGTATATCGTTCATTGATTGCGCTCTTCCACAAGGCGTGGATTCCCTTGAGTCCGACGCTCCCTGCTCTTGTTGGATTCCCTAGAGTACCGGTCGGTTTCACTACCGCTGAAGGTTATCCTTACGAGTTTCTGCAACTCCCTCCTGGCGACAATACCGAAGCTATCTACGTAGATGTGGTCATCATCGGTAGCGGCTGCGGTGCCGCTGTGGCGGCAAAAAATATTTCGGAAGCAGGCCACAGTGTCATTGTGGTTGAAAAATCTTATTACTGGTCAGAGAAGCACTTCCCCATGACAATGAAGGAGGGAACCTCAAATTTGTTCGAAAACGGGGGCGCCACTGTTTCTGATGATGGCTCGGTTGCCGTCATCTCGGGTTCCACATGGGGCGGGGGCGGAACGATTAACTGGTCGGCATCGCTGCAGACACAGAACTATGTTCGTCAAGAATGGGCAAAGAAGGGGATGCCATTTTTTACCTCTTCGGAATTTCAGAAATCCCTTGATCGTGTCTGTGAGCGCATGGGCGTTAATACAGAGCATGTTAAACACAACAGTGCGAACCGTCTCCTACTTGAGGGTGCACGAAAGCTAGGTTATGCTGCCACGACAGTCCCTCAAAATACGGGCAATCAGGAACACTCTTGCGGACACTGCACCCTGGGGTGCGGATCTTGTGGGAAGAAGGGGCCCCAGGTGACATATTTGGCTGACGCTGCTCGCGCAGGAGCGCAATTTATCGAAGGTTTTCACGCTGATAGAATATTGTTTAGAGAGGGCAATGCTGGGAACTGTCTTGCTCATGGCGTTGAAGGAACTTGGACATCAAGAGACATCAACCAGGGCGTCTGTGGAGAGCCGGTTATTAAGCGCAAGGTGGTAATCAAGGCCAAAAAGATCATTGTGTCTTGCGGTTCCTTGCAAAGCCCCCTGTTACTGCTTAGAAGTGGACTGAAAAATCCACAAATTGGGCGTAATCTGTACTTGCATCCAGGTGAGTCCATGCCCTAGTTGGCTTTCCTGAGTGTCAAGTTGAGTTTTCATATGAGTGCTAACGGTTTGACTTAAATCATGAAGTTGTTATCCTGTCTGCAGTATTTGGGCAAGAAATGAAGCCATGGGAAGGCAGTATTCTCACCTCGGTGGTAAACGAATTTGAAAATTTGGATGGCCACGGCCACGGGGCAAAGATCGAAACCCTAACGACAGTCCCCTCGTTCTTCCTCCCAGTCTTTCCTTGGAACAATGGACTTGAGTATAAACGCTTTGTCTCAAACCTTCGTAACATGGCCGGGCTTATCACCCTCACCCGCGAACGATACGGCGGGAGAGTTTACCCCGATCCCGTCGATGGAAGATGTAGAATTTCGTATACCCCATCCCATTTCGATAGAAAGAACATGATTGAAGCAGTTATTGGAGCTGCAAAAATTGCCTACGTTTGCGGCGCTCAAGAAATCTACACTACTAGTCGCGACATTCCAACGTTCATTCGCCCTGAGCGTCTAGCAACTGAGGCTTGCGGCCCCGAAGCAGGTATCAATCATTCCGCATTCCAAGCCTGGGTCAAAAAAGTGCGCCATACCTATTCTCCATTGACCCCCGAACACACCGTTTTTGCAAGTGCCCATCAGATGGGTACCTGCCGTATGGGCACGTCACCGAAAACTAGCGTCGTGGATCCTAGTGGAAAGGTCTGGGGAACCGAAGGGCTTTACGTCGCTGATGCGTCTGTTTTCCCAAGCGCTAGCGGTGTGAATCCGATGATAACGAACATGGCCATTTCAGATTGGACCAGCCAGAACATTGTGAAGGTCCTTCACGGTGAGAGGGTTCCTAGTGGCCCGCGACTGTAGAGAAGCGATCTGAAACGCTCGCAACCGAACAATCTGTCAGATAAAGCGATCATGTAATATACGACTTACCTAGAGTGGAGTCTACCCAGACCGATGATGGCATTGTTCCGTCCAAAGCTGGGAGCTAGCTAGGCGGTGGATCTTCCTTCTCCTCTCCTATTATTATCTCAACACCACCGCTCTTTTGATTTCTTCCTCACCCCCCATCATGTATATAGCCTGGGTAGATGAAGAACAGGTATTATTATGGACCAAAAAGCTCACTATTTCCTTTTTATAGCAGAAAGTAAGGAGTGCTCGCATACAAGCGACAGTAGGCCTGCAACAAGGGTGAAAAGCCCACGGGTGAGGGCGTCCACATCAATGGAGCTCAAGGGGGGGGTAGCAGAGTATCAAGATATTGGAACAGGAAGGCCAACGGAAAAGAAGAGGAATTCTAAGGAAAGGGCTCCTGTTGGTATCACACAGTCCCAACACTGTGCTGCCAGTGCAGAGCAGCCAACTTGGCAGACATATACATGTTCATAACATCTTCTTCTATACAGGCTCTACTCCAATGGATCTGCTGAGGGTTTGCTAAGTCACGTGATTTCAGCCGCTCTCCAGCGTCTCAACCTTATCTCAGCGGGCTCAGACCTCTGGCTCGGTTTGAACAGGTTGCAGACTAATCCGGCATGACACTAACCTACTTTTGATACAAGTCATGTGCTCAGAGCAATCCTCACTAGAGAGTCTGAGAAGAAATGATTCCATCTTCAATGAAGATTTCTGAGATTTACAAGGATTTTTCAGATTCTTTAACTTTGACTTTCTATTACTATATATTCACATATCTTTGAGATTTGAAAATCACCTTAGCTTATAGCTAAAGAGAAGAAGAATAGAAATATTTCTTTAATATTTTAAAAAAATCTATATTTAAGATAGATGTATACTCTTAAAAATGATCATATTTTTTGATCTCAGAATTTCTAAGAGCTTTTTTTTATATGAGGAATTGAATCAAAATTTCTATATTCAAAAACACACTAGTCAACTTTAAAATGATACTTCTATTCTAAGAACTTGAGATATGAATATAAAAATCAGATACATCATAAGAATATTATTATTCTAAGATTTTAAGATAATACAGAAATGATGAATCTATGAAGTTGAGTTGAAATTCTCTTTCATACTCAGAGTACTGAGTAAATTCTTTCTGTGTTACTAATAATCAGAAATCATTTCTTCTCAGACACTTTACAAGATATCATCACTCACATGATCTGATTTTACTATTTGGGTTAGCTTATTGCTTATTTGAGATTAGCTCATGACATAATCATCAATCCAGTGTTAAAACAGCAATGAATATCTGGAGAAGCGTCTGAGCTTGCTGAGATAATCTCAACCCATGTTCTTTGTTCGAATAACTAACTGCTGTGTACACAGGCTTCAACGCTCTTTGATAGTGATAGTTCCTGTGGGGGAAAAAGCCTAATAATTATTAATGGGGAGCTTTGTGTGTGTGTGTGTGTGAATGGGAATTGTCAAGCCTGGCAGGTTTACTCAGCCACCTTTGTGATTGCGTGATGGGCTTCATCTAACATAACTCCCAAGTCACTGGAAGCACCCGGCCTTTCCTCTCATTATCTGAGGCGAACTGTTGGTTGTCTCAGCACCATGGAACTTCCGCTCGATGCTATGGCTAATGCTAGATTCCAGGATGAGATGTTTGACGTGAAATGGCGTCATCACCCACGCCCACGATTACGATTCATCAGGGAGCAAAAAGGCAGCCAGGTAAAGAATATGGGAATATTCCCTCCTCTGCCGTCGCCTCCTGCAAAACTGTATAAAAAGCAGCTATATTGCCTTTATCTTTGCCTTTTCTTTTTCTTTTTATTTCTTTTTTCTTTTCTTTTCTTTCCTTTTTTCCTTGTCATAAACGTTAATTTAGACCGTTATTCTTAACGTTTTCCCCAGTCCTTTCTGCTTTTTACATACACCACCCTTTCTTGTTGTTGCACTGGCTGCATATATTCATATATACATATATACCCTATTCTTACATATTTTTAGAAAAGCTAAAGCCAACGCGGTCATCTCGCTACATGCCTACTGGTAGGTATTGCTCCGCATCCACAATTACGGGACTTGAGTTTTTTTTTTTTTGAGCTGGTTCTCATTATCCCAGAACCTGTCCTTCACATTCTATTAAAATAGCCTAGTATCCTTCTACCACCAACGCAGATCTCCCACACTCAACAGAAGGGGAACGTGGAAACTCCAACGGATCCCCACACGCCGAAGCTCAAAGCTAGCCTGGGCTTATTCAGGTTCCTCTAAAATCAGCACTCCCGTCGGATTTTTATGTCACCTAACGTATACAATGTTACAAAAGGATCCAACCAGCAAGTTAAGTGACTTGGAGAAGCGCCAGCTTGCATTCGTTTTATACAGTAGTGATGTAACTATTGACAGCGAAGTCCGTTGCCCAAAAGGGCAGAAACTATCCTCCAGTTTACTGTCGAACTCTTGGACTAGGACTAAATCATGCGCACGCCACGAGAAGCTCAAAGGCAAGCTAAGCGAGTACATATTTGACCTGATTAAGTTCGAAGTCAGCGAAAGGATCGATGACTACACCAAACAGCGCGGGAGCATTACAGAAACAGAGCAATACCTACGGCAACTAAACCACATGTGGATGGACAGTTCTAGATTTGCAAAGGAATACGGCAAGCCGACGGGAGCATGGCCTTATCAAATGAACAAGTGCGACGCCTGCATGGTTGCGCGAGTAGCACAGAATGCCATTGCTTTAAAACAGCTTAGGGCATTCCTAGAAGCTCGTGCCTTAAAGACTCGTTCCCAGCGTGAGAACGCATCCCAACCCAGACTGCTATTTTGGGCAAAAGCTTTTTTGGATTTCCATGAAACGAAGGATAGGAATCGTCTGCCACGATCAAAATCGCTGTCCCACTCACATGATCGCCCGCGGCCATTAGCTGAATCTGTACCCGAACGCAAGCTGAAAACAGATTGGACAGAGATGACGAGGGCTACTATCGAAAAATGGCAGGGGCTTGAAGCGTCTGCTACAGTACCTACGAACGAAACTTATTCAGGTCATGGCCTGGATTGCTATACTGCCGCAATGATAAAACGGTCAATGACTGTGGGTCGTATGGAGCATGATCGTCAACGATCTCGCCGTACCCGTCAACAATTATCCCGGAACCCATTGGCCGACAAATCCATCTCAAATATTACTGATCACTATCACACCCTCGGCCGCAGCCAGAGCCTCAGCCACCGCCGCAGTAACGAAAGTGAATATCTCATCAAAAACGATCCCAGGACGCCAGACGGCGAACCGCTCTCCAGTGGCTACAGCCAACTGGGCAATTACCCCTGTCCGGACGCGGAAGCTCCAAAATCCCGTCGCTACTCAGTCGCATCGCTTTCTTCTAACTATAGTCTCTCACCCCCCGCTACGCCGGTTATAGAGCAGCCCACGAGCCGGGGGAATCGCTATAATGATGCGCTGTTTTCGTCTGCGGCTAGTGAAACCCGTACCGCAACGGCCTCTGGGACAGCCGCGGTGTCTACTACCTGTGCAGGCGCAGGGCACTATGGCCGAAACGGCAATTGCGATACTAATCTCGAAAATGTACCCGGTCTTGAACACGATAACGATGCCCGCTATGAAAGAAAGTATAGCAGATCCGACGCGGCAAAAGTGGCACATCAGTGGGCACAAGGTTCTCAGCAGACGTCAGGCGCAGGCGATTCGGATTCAGAGTGGGACGACGATCTCGTTCATGAGAGTGATGAGGGGCATTCTCATCCTGGCGGTGAGCACCAAGATGGAGACGGTCGTGCCAATGGCGTTGGTTACGGTATTTCTAACCGGGGGCTGTGGGGTTTGGAGTCAACGCGGTCGGGAGACGATGATGGCTATAGTCATGGTTATGGTTACAATGTTGCTAATTAGGGGCTGTGTGATTTGGATTCAAAGGATCTGCCGAGCCCGGTCGAACAACCCGGAGGACTGGCACGGCCGCCCAGGCATGCAGCATCGAGTGCTTCAGGTCTAACTGCGTTGAGTGGGTTACTTGAGGACCGGGGAGAGGAGTGGAACAATGCTGCTATGTCTAGACGTCGTTGAATATTGGCCATTTTCCTACTTTCTCTTTTCTGTTTGTCTGTGATTGCCTTTTTGATGCTCAAACTTGATATATATACCCAAACCGTTTACCTGTCTCTGTCTCTGTCATGGCTTTTTTGTATTGTATTGTTAGCTTTTGTAAATTACAGTACAACCACTGTGAACCGTTTACTTCTTCAGCAGAAGACAATAAGAACACTGTAAAATAATTTTAATTAATATTAGCGTCGAATTAGTTGACTATTTTGGGTTGCAGTTTCCCTCGTGGGTGAGACTATTCAAGGCTATTATACATACATGGCTTGGTGAAATAAAGTCAAGGCCAAGGTGAGCGGGGTGAAAAAAGGAGACCCAAAGAGAAAGGGAGACAACCTTGAAGAGAATAAGTAAAGGATGTTATTTTTAACGAGTAAAACGAAGAGAAGGCAGAAAAAAAAGGTCCAGTAAAAATGTATTTAGAATAGAACGGGAAGGAAGAAGAGAAAAAAAAGGATAACTATTGGGTAAAAAGGGATGGTTGTCACATAGGCGCTTCTATAATACCAATCCCGTAGAGAGAAAAATAGGGCAAATAAAAGAAAAGTATAAAGTAGCAGCTGAAAGAGGAAAAGGTGGGTCAATCCAATGATGGTGAATATGACACACGCGAAAACACCATGAATAAAGAGGCGATAAATGAGAAAAAAACGAAAAGAAAAGAAAGTAAGAAAGGAGTAAAGTAGGTAATTTACTATAAGGGAGGAAAGGAGGGGGGTGCCACCAAAACGTAACGAGTGAACATGACTATAACCAGATGTCGGCATTAGATAATAAAGCGGGGGGAGAATGATGTAGCGAAGAATGTAAGAGTAAAAACCAAGCAGAACAACACATATACAAGGGGCAACGAATAGAAATATTAAGCGCCATCTGGGGAATATGATTTTAATAACCAACCCTAGCCAGGGGTAGGAAGCAAAACGTTATGCACGAGGTAATGAAGGTTTGCAGGAGAATCAGAACATCAGTCCCCATTTGTCGTTCTTGTAGGTTATTAAATTTAAAGAGGGAGTATTACTTTTGTCGTATACTCCCGTTGAGCCGATGGCTGACGGCGGCTTTCATGCCGTCCGTCTGTGGAGAAAATGAAACAGTTTTCCGTCGAACGCTACGCGATAACAGATTCCGTGAAACCGACTCATCCTCTTCTCTAACAGGTGCTGGGTCTGCTTGGACATCGGCGGATGCTCGCTTTTCATTTTCTTCGTCGACTAATTTCTGTGCTGCATTACGTGACCGTTCATATCGAAGAGTGACGTCACCACCCGTCCAACGGGTATTCAGGAACCGGTCCCAAATGGTGAAAAACGGCTGGGAGAAGTTGGTTTTGATACCCCAGCTTTGGTGATGGATGTCATGGTAGGCAGCATTGTTGGAGGTGAAATGTTGGAGGGGGTCGAAGGGGAATGCATAGCCGCAATGATCATCGACTGTTTTGATTGTTGAGCATGTGAAAAACCAAATTCCTTGACGAGTGGTCATTCTTGTGAGGAGAAATGCCACGCCGCCAGAAGCGGTATCGAGGAGGAAACCTTCAATCGGGTGGTTGTATAATGCACCAAAGGCGTAGGGCACGTACAGGCGATGATGGCGGGAATGGAAGGTTGCTATATGATTGCTCCATAGTCAGATGTCTAAGTTCGGCAGATGCGCAAAAATTTTTGCTTTTCCTGGAGGATCGACCATGAGCTGGACTTACTGTACAGCCATTTGTTTAGGTGCATTGCGCGGTGCCAAAAATATTGCCATGTGTCCATGATGAACGCCGCGGAAGCGAATTGCAAAGCTGGTACTAAATACCAGTAAATGGCGTGGGCTACATTCATTTCCCAACTAGCAAACGCGGGGACCACCACGGATTCTCCGGCGGCTGTTAGAACATTTTGCGTCAACCATTGATATCGGCCACCAGAGATTGCAGCAGCCACCGTCGGGTACGATGACAGCTTCTCGGCTAATCCTAGCGCATCGATTCCGATGACGGAGAGAGCGGAGGGGATCATGTGCTGAACGAGTCGCAATCGCTGAGCCCAGAGCGCAACATTGTATTCATCCTTGCCCGCATATTGAGGGCTATCAAAATATCCCAACAAAACGCCACTTGCAAGTTGGATCACCTGTTGCACAACCACATCCCGAACAACCTCTCGCCGTGTGACACGGTTCCGTTTTAAAATCTCAGCAGGGGTATGCAGGCGGTACTGGGGGAAGTAGTCGTTGATGTCGATCCAGTGAAATATCAGGGACACCATCCAGTACGCGACTATCGTCATGATTTGGCCCAGGGCACTGTCGGGGATCGGAGGGATCAGGGGTTCGCGGAGAGTGAGGGTGTAGGTCGGAAGAGGCGGCAAATCCGAGTAGACCGTCGCGTTGGCCATCTTGAAGGTGCTGCTGCCGAGCGCAACAAACCCAAGCCCAGTGGGCTCTAGCGGGAGGGCAGCTTTTCTGTTCGATTATCCAGGGGGCGAAGGCGATCAGGGCGAAGTTGGGTTCAAGGGGTGGGGCGGAAAAAAGCGCGAATTAAGCAGCAAGGTTGATAGGGGCGGGTGGTGAGGATGAACTACTTTATCTGTAAGGGCGTCCCGTGCTTCTGGGTTTCTGGGTTTTATTATAGTTCTTCTTCGTTGTTCGCTGAAGAATGGAATATCGAATACAATGTCCAGCAAACTTATGAGCGTGGGAGGATTTGAAGACTCGGGGGATTCGGGGACTATTGGAATTTATTGGAGCTGGCCAAAGGGTCCGCCGAGTAGTCAATTATAAAGCGCCAAGGCGGGAGGGGATCCGGGGAGGGGAAAGAGTAAGGAGTGTAGGGAAGGAAGGACAGGCTGCGAAGAGTCAAGAGATGGAGGCAGTGAAGAGAAGAGAGAGAAGAGAGTGAGGAGGAGAGAGGGAGAAGAGAACAAGACGAGAGGTAGAATCGGATGAAGTTGAAGCTGTTGGCGAGATCTTGATATACAAAAAAAGATCCCGCAGCCGACGCTGCGCTGACTGATACCGGCTGAGTCATCAGGGGCTGCACGTGATCCGTCGCTTCTCGCGTCTGGCTCCGGCCGAATCCGGTAACACGCCACCGGAGAACGTGGATAGATACTTTATTATTAACAGGGGAAAGAAAGGAAGAACCTAGGCAGAGAAGTTATTATTACTCCCGTAACTAGTTAACTAGTTATTATTATTGATTATTAATAACTAATAATATTATTTTGAAGAAACGGGCATGGGATTGGGGGGAAGTCAGTCAGATGTAGCCCTGCAGATCTCGTACTCGGCATGAAGGGCTGTGGAAAAGCTTCTCATTCGCCCCGTACCCGGATACTAATACCATTCTTAAATCAAATGGTTAATATTCCAAAAGTATTTTGCCCAGTCTCACCAAACACAACGGATGATTTTAGATCGATAAATATCTAGCTAAACTATCCGCTCGGGAACAAATATATAGTATATATACGGAGTACGTGCTTCTTCCACATGCGCGTCATTTTTGAGGAGTCGTCAATGGGAATTGCGTGAGCCCGGCTGCGGCAAAATTCCTGGTAGGCTGTCAAGCACAATTGTCGGTCTCCGTCGGAACCTGGCAAGCCTAGCTTCCATGGTGGATAGATTGTGCGAAGAGATATGTGGGAGGAGCTTCGCCCGCTGCTGCGGGCGCTCGAGATACAGGCATTTCACAAAACTTGTAATGTGCTCTGCTGGCCGGTTGGCCAGGACATTGCCATTAATGATTTCCTTATTATCACCGAAAACAATCTTGCCATGCTCCTGGCGATATCTCTCCTGGTCCAGCAGCGCGTCAATCATCCGTGAGATGGTTGGAATGAACAAAGGGCTCGAGTTTTCTCGTTGCGCAAGATTTCTGGGAAGGATACGGGTATTTCTTGCTTCCAATGCTGTTTTGGTTAGCGGGTACCCGATTTCCGGGTCGAAATACTCCTCCATCAACACACAATCCCAGCTGACAACGTTGGGGACTTGCACCTTGGGACCATCCACGGAGAGAAAGTAGAGCTTTTCTGGCCAAAGCCTGATATGGATGGGTTCTCGTGTCGATCGATGAAGCCTGAGCACTTGGTTTACGTGGGAGTCATTGGAGCGGGGTAGTTGGTCCTGTTCGGCGTGTTCCCACTCCCCCGAAGCAATGAATGCCGAAACGATGTCATCGAGCTGCGAGTCCCGGACGAGGAAGTCATATTCCTAAACAATTATGCCGCCTTAGTAGTGGTATTCTGTCTGCTTCATGCGACTTGACCTAACGTAGAAAGAGGAAAAGGCTAGCGAAAAGGCAGAAAATACAGTGGGTGATCCCGCAATACCCATCCATAGCATCGCACACTGTTCCACGAGGATAATAGGGTGGTTGTGTCTGTCGAAGATGGAGCAGACATCGTCCAGGTATCCCGCTAGCAAGCCCCCAATCGCTGGCTGGCTCATCTTGCCTGTAGCTCTAGAGGACTGTCAGAGGCGTCGAGCTATATACCAGTTGTAATGGACAACAAATGGGCAAGAGATAGCTGAGATAGCTGCTTGTCGGGTTCAAATAATACTGCGACTAAATTTCTCCCGGTAACGTTACACTCCAGTGCAGCTCCAACTCAAGCACACCTCCAGCAAAATGCAGTAGAGTAGGATATCAAAACAACTCCCCAAAAATGAGAATTTGAGTCCAGATTATCGTTTTGTTGTGTTTATTGAAGCTTGATCCAGATCCCGTGACTCCGTCCATCTTTGGTCTAGCGTGTCCTCGGGTCCGGTCTTCCTTCCCCAACTATCGCCAAAAGAAGAAAAGGAAAAAAGGGAAAAAAAAAAAGGAAAAAAGGGAAAAAAAAAAAGGAAAAAAAAAAAAAAGGAAAAAAAAAAAAGAAAAAAAAAAAACATTTGACACTAATTTTGTTGCCCCCCGCTATTCTATCCCAAACACTTTAAAAGCGTTCGTTCGTCCACCACCACCAATTCTCCTTCGCGTCTTCTTCGACAACTTCTCCCTGTGCCAGTTGCATAGCCTCATTGTCCTTCTCTTCCTTTCCACCACTCTCTATATCCAGTTGCCAACCTAACCACCATGATTATCTACAAGGTCAGCGCCAGTACCCCGCTCTTCCAAGCCCTACCTACCTACCCCCCTCTCTTCCTCACTGCCAATGGCACTACAGGAACAACAACACAACAACAACACAACAACAATAACATAGACAACATAGACAAGCAAAAAATGGCTGACATTCGTTCCGTGTAGGATATCCTTTCGGGTGACGAAATCATCTCCGACAGCTGGAAGCTTATCGACGTCCCCGGCGGAGTCCTGTGGGAATGTGACTGCAAGAAATATGCCAAGGGCACCGACACTTACCGTCAGTCAACCCTTGATTCCCTTAACTCTCTCAAACGCAAAACAAACGGGATATATTTCTCGACGTTTTAATGCCTTCCTTTCTGTCTCAAGAGTGGTCTCTTGATATATCCAATTCTAGCATGTTTCTGTTAACACTCCACTTACTGGGCTCTCCCAGATTGATCGCTGACTAAGCCTTCTGGTTTTTATAGAACTCGAGGGCGCCAACCCCTCCGCTGAAGAGGGTGGGGATGATTACTCTGGTGAAGGTGGTGGTGCCGGAGAGATGGTTCACGATATTGAGGAGTCCTTCCGGCTGAATTGGCTGAAACCAGACGAGTCTGGTAATGACCTCAAGCCCTCTAAGGATGCTTTCAAGTCCCACCTGAAGTGTATGTTGAAAAGCCTCCCAACTTGATGGATTATGCAAATCAATCCTCCAACCACTCCGTTCCCAATAACCTCCCATTTTTTCGGAGCATTTTCTAACTTGGCTCGCCTCCAAAAACACAGCATATGTAAAGAAAGTGAACAACAAGCTCAAGGAACAAGGAGCCAGTGAAGAAACCATCAAGGAATTCCAGGCTGGCGCCCCGGCTGCCGTGAAGAAGCTCCTCGCCAACTACGACAACTACGATGTCCTTTTGGGCTCATCCATGCACCCTGACGGAATGTAAACTTTACCCTCCTCGCAAATCACGCTAAATTTACGAGTCTTTTATCTTGTTCATTCTATTTTCTCCCTCCTATATACTAACCCAAGAATCACTAGGTACGTTCTCATTGATTTCCGTGAAGACGGCGTCACCCCCTACGCCACCATCTGGAAGCATGGTTTGGAGGGTATGAAGGTCTAAAACCAAGAGGAAAGACACGAGGGATACCTTGCTCAAGCTCATTCTGTTATCCTACCACAGCCAATTGCAATGGTAGCCGTTTCCGGACCAGCCTTCACACTCATGCTCATAATATGCATCCTTCTGCCGTCTCAGGCAACGAACTAACTCCCCTGCCAACTCCAGCTATTCTCTTTCCCCCATCCACCCGGTGGGCTTGAAGGAATTTGGCCCCGGCGTTATCCCCCTCCCTCCCTCTTCCGTTTTCCATATCTTCGCGTTCTATTTATCCATTCCCCAACCCCCAACCGCCCGCTTTCTTAATCTACTAAACGCCTGACGAAATAAAGCAAGTCCAGTTTTTCTCTCTAATAAATAAAAAAATAAAAAAGGGAAAGAAAAGAAAACCTATACATTTATTTATTTATTTTTTTATTTTACAAGACAAGAGGAGTGATCCGTTAAAAGCATGGTTTTAAGATGGAATTGGGTTTTAAAAAAATTGGCTTCCCAAGTTTAATAAAGCCTTGGTAAATCTATAATCGTACCCTGTTCACTTGAGAAAGGAAAGGGAGGGGGGAAATATTGTGATTTACAGACATACATAGTATCAGCTGCCGTATTTCTCGCTGATGATGAGAATAAATATGCCTAGGAGGAATATGTCCATCAACCAGGAGTGAACGGAGATACATTAACATTAACCATATTCAAAAGAGGATATCATGTAGCTAACAAAACCAAAACTGGTCAAAATTCAAAATTCCACCCTCTCTCTACTCCTCTCACATGCCATTCTTCCGATCCAAATCCACTATTTACAATTCCGCGAAATCATCAGCTCCCGTGCCCGTCATAATAATCAGCCACAAGCCCTAGGTCCCTTAATACCGTATCGGTCTCATCTTTGCTTACCGCGGGTCCGTCACCGCCATCAGCGGTAATACCGATTCTCCCATTCCCACCCGGCCCTGTGCCCGTCCCTGCCCCGCCAGTATTGATGCTATCAAGATGCATCAGGTCGTCAACGACAGGCAGCGAAGGTCCAAAGACGGCATCCCACTGGTCCCAGTCGAATTGCAAATTGTGCGGGTCGAGGATGGGGCTGGAGCTGGGGCTGGCGGATTGGAAGGTGGGGTTGGGATAGGGGCCTGGCTTGGGCTGAATATCGATGTCGATGTCGATGTCGGATGCGGTGGGGATAGGTAGCGGCATGGGGAGGTCGAGTGCTGTGGGGGTGTGGGATGACGTAAAGGTGGGGACATTAAGGGGGTCATTGCTGTAGCTGCTGGCACTGTAGTTGGTAGAGGACGTGGGAATGTTGAATGGTCCCGGTGGTTTAGTGGTATGGGTGGTGGTCGTGGTGGATGTAGAGAACTGGTAAATGGGGCCGTCGTTGATAGGAGCACGTGGGAACGGGGACGCAGTTGCCCAGGGTTGTTTGGCGATGTCGTCCGTCTGGGGGCTTTGAGATGTACGGAGCCAAGGTAATGGTGTATCTGACTGTGGAAGTGTAGTTGTGGCGTATTCCTGAGAGGAAACACCGATGCCTTCCAGCTGGGTATGGGAATGGCTTTCTTGAGCGGTTTTGTCTATTATATACGCATTGTCTTTCCCACTCTGCGCCCGCGCCCGTTCTCGCTCCCGCTGCCATTTCGTCGATTGACTATTACTGTGAACATTATGATCATACGGTTCCTTGATGAGCGTATAATAACTATCTGTAAAACTCTGGACCGAAGACTCTCGACGCTCTCTAGGAGCATCCGTAGACATATGCCTATTACTCGGGCGTCGAGCCTCCGCCTGTGCCTGCTCTGTCCAGAGAACACTCGGGTCAAGGCCTGCTTTGAGCCAGGCTTTCTCCCGCAGGCGCCGCAGCATGTCCCACGCTTCACGGCCGCCGTCTCTGAGCGGTCGAGATGTTGATATACCATCTTCACCGCCCACCACGCCGCCATCAGGGCCGGAAAGGGAGAAGATCTTGTCGATGAAGGCGCGGGATTTAGGGGCCTCCGCGGTTTGCGGGCGTTCGTATAGGTCAATAAGCATTATCCTGCCCACGGGTATTAGGATGAAGGGCACAAATACATGTGTGGGGGGAAGTTTGGTGACATACATTGTGGCATGCATAGGTTGATGGTTTCTGTGTTTTGAGTTTAGTTTTTGTCACCAATGCATTCTGGAGAGGCGAAGAGGAACTAACCCTGGCCAGCTCCATTGGAATGGCTGGAAGTCGGAATCAGTAGCTAACAGGATGAATTTTTCCATGAACCCATGGCAATGGCGAATAGCTCTAGCTTGTATTAGAATTATATATCAAAGTAACTTCTTAGGGCTATGTTTGTGTAAATATAGATGAAGGTGTATGTATACATACCGCTGACGAGCAACTGGCCATATATTACTTTTTGCATTCTTCAAGAAAGGTTGATAAGCAACACAAAATGCCTAGATCACCCGTCAGCATAAACGTAAAGAAATGAAGAGCCAAAACCAACACTACCTTGTCAACGAAAAGAGAGAGTAATATCCTAGCCCACTTGTGAAACGCAACCAAAACTGGGGAATGATACTGCTCAAGACAGCTAGGGCCGACCTCAGCTGTAGTAGAATCGCCAGAGTCCATAGCTGTAGATGACGTACATGACGGAGTGGAGTGGTAACTGTGGCCATCGCGGCTGCCCGGGTTCGCACATTTCGATACGGGTATCCGATCCACTATGGCCTGTAATTTTGACTGAAGGTCAATAAGAATTGTACGCAAAGATTCCATGTCCCGTCGCGTAACTGGCTTAGTTCCCAGTTGAATCTTCAGGATCTTTCGAATCGCCTCTGCGGTGAAAATTAGCACTTGGTTAGCGCATTGCAACGAAACCTATCGATAGAGTTAGGGAGGACTAACGAGCCATAACATATTTCCCTTTGGCAGATAGATAATACACGTTCACCATAGATGAACCTCCGCATATATTCGGATCACTTGGGCAGTCAGGCTTCCGCTCATTGTTGTTAACCATGCGCTCATACTCGGCCGCTTCCGGGGAGTCTAAAAGGGTATCCTTAACCTCGCTTGTAATGCGAACATCCCAGTAATTTTCATCGCTAACAAGAGGAGGGAGGCCGCTAGACATAGCCACCACGCCATCCATATGTACGATGTGCCACCATATGCGTCTTCGAGCCTCTGCCTGGCAAGCCGAAATGCCAAATTGGGCCGGGTCCCTGTGCAGCCCCATGGTTTGGGCAACACGTAGAGCCAAACTGATGAACAAGCTGCTTGCCAGTGGCTCTTCTTCTCTGGATAAAATAGTCTGGACAAGAAGGAACGCTTTCAGGCCGTGGATTGAGGGGTTTCTAGGAAAAGATATTTTACGCAGCCAGCGAGTAACCTCGTCATGGAAACGCGTGGACAGAACGGCGCGACTTTCTATGTCAAATTCATCGCGGATTATCCAGCGTGATATCGTGACAGAGCCACCGTACCAGATGGCATAAAGAAGTGGAATGAAGGAAGGATCGGGGCACGATTCAGCAGATTCCTTGCTATTCTCATACCAATTCCAGAATGCCTTATATTTCCTCAGAATCGAAGGAGGATGCACAACCGGGCTAATTGCATGCACTCCAGACATGAATCCTTTTAACAAAATACGGCTTTGTCGTTTTGTAGGGACATTCTCCAACATATATGGTTCAACAGATTTATCTGGTGACCCAGGGGACTCGCTCAATGGGAACAGCACCGATTTGTTAAACGAGTCCTTGCGGGTAGGTAGCGAGGTCTTCGCTCCGCGACTGCTGCTTAGGAGTGCTGAATCTGCGAAGTCATTCTCATCCAAAGAAGAATAGGCATCATCTGGACTGGGTGAACGATCGACAGAGAGGGTTTGGCCCCGGAGAAGCTGGTTTAGCTCCGTTATCTGCAGTTAACAGAAATCAGCTAGAGATACTACATTGTGTTAATTTCAATGTGATTGTACCTCACGCGAGATATAAGCCCAATAGGTCGTCCCAACATATCTAAGAAGAATTGTTAACTGATTTCCAACATCCTTGTTCCATTCCATGCCGTCCTAGGGTAACACCAACCTTGGCTTCCCACCCTCTTCCAAGCTGAGGTGCCCCAAATTCAACGAGCCAACCGGATCGACAAGATCCGTTTCCAGGCCACTCGGAATCGGAAAGTCATCTCCAGTGTTATTTTCAGCTTGGGCTATTTGGCACAGTCGAGTTTTCGACAGCGGACCGACGGGGGGCGAGGTATCCGATAACTGGCTGGGTAAATCAGGCGCACCTTGCTGCTGAAGTCCAGCATTAGTTGGTGCATCATGCCTTTGTCTATGCCTCGTCGTACTGAGCTCTTCGAGTGACTGGGGGTCATTTGTTCGAGCCCATTGCTCAACAATGGCCGTCAGTTGGTCCAACCTGGCGGCGATAGCCTGAGAATCCGAATACTGTTCACGGAGCGCAGCCTGGCCCCGCTGTATCTCTTTCAATATATGGTAGGGTGACAACACTTCAATCGATGAGTCGTCGATATTTACAGGTTCGTTCAGTTCCCTCTGTCGCTTGATGCCATGTTTATTTTCCCGTGAATGGTGTCGTGACTGGGAGGAGTCAGTCAAGGACGATGAACTGTAGACACATTCAGACTTCGTTTTCTCACAGGTTCCGCATGTCGGACGGACCTATAAATTTGAAAAAAGCAGGAGTGAATTAGCAAAATATTTAATATAGCCATCGTTTCGATATTTCTTATGTTGTGCCTGTATATACGTACAGTGTCGCATTTCACCTTGCGCCGTCGGCAGACAAGGCAACTCTTGCTGATTCGGAAGCGAGTGATCTGCTTTCCTGAGGACAGGTATGATTTGGATGCAGACGCAGCGTATATATTTGTGGGTCGGATATCGCCAGTTGGGCGTTTGCTAACTGGGCTGCTGTCCTGGATAGCTTGTTCCCTTGCTGATTCCCCTTGCTGACGATTGGCCATGCTATTCCTCAGGACGGGAGGGATTGGCAGACCTGACCCGAAGCCACCAGTGTAAATAAGAAAATCGGGGCAGGTAGACGGCAGGTTAAAATATCTACTGATGCGTCGAGTGGCTGCGACTGAAACTAGAAGCCCAGAGCTGCGGAGTGAGTGGGGTTGCTGGGTTGCGGGAACTAGATTCATAGAGCTGCGTTTTGCATCCCTATTCTTATGACTCAGAAACTCCGCACAGTATTTAGCTGCTGCTACCTAGCACCCACGCCATCGACGGAACCAGGGGAGATACAGGAATTAACAATAAAGCTATGATTATTGAAGGAAAAATTCCCAGAGCTATATTTTAGAGACTATCTATAAATACTCCTGATATTTATTTTTAACTCGTTGTAATAGTCCCATCTACTTATTGTATGACATATATTTAATATTTGCGCCCAAGTCAAAAATGTCCAATAAAGATGTGGTAATGTAGTAACGTAACCCAGTAAATATGGGCGATTTGTTCGCCCTTTGGCGTCTTAGGATTCGTAGTTGTTAGATATTGGCGACCGTTCTAGGGCGCATTTTGCTTCATGAGCCTGGGATGCTGCGTAGGTAGTTGGGCCAGAGCAAGAAGAAAATCCAGAATCATCCAGAGAGCCCGTGACAAGCTTCTCTTATATATGTCTCGCACTTCATTCGAAAACAACGAAGTGGCGGTAGGCGAATGATTTGGAGTGAAAAATCTTGAATCGGCCGTCTTCCACTCTGCAATCCTCACATAAGATAAGGTGTTCCAAAACTCTGTCCATTTTCGCCTGGAAACCCCATAGCGCTCTTGCTCTACAATTTTTGCGTCGTGCTCATCTAGAGAAAAATGTATGATGTTCCAATAAATTCAGTAAATCAAGCCTTGGCCTTCTTTTTCTCCTTCTTCTTTTTCGGTTCTGGAGCGCCACCAGGCATCATCGGCATATCTGCCCCTAGTCCTTGCTGTTGCATTTCCAACATCGCTTCTTTAAAGGGATTATCACTCACGCCTCCACCAGTGAGTGCTGGCGAATGGAACGGTAAAATAGTTCCGATCTTCCAGCCCCGGGGGGCTGCTGGGGGTGGCATGGGTTTTTCTGGTACCGGCAGCCCGCGGATACGGAGACGAAATGGAGATTCTTCAGTGGTTGGATGTTCGCGGAGATATTGTGCAACTTTGATATAAAGGTGATGTTCTGTGGGAAATTTAAAGGTTAGATTCATTGAATGCGCTAAGAAGAGAGCTTCGGGATGGGGTCATGCACACAACATACTATTCTTTACAACATTGGTTACTGGGGTGCCATCCTCAGTCTTTAACTGCACTCTAACTCGGCCAGGATTTGCCCAATCTTTCGGGTGCAATTTCTCCGGCTCCAGAATCCCGACACGCAGTCCCAGCACCTGTACCGCATCCAAGATATCTCTTGCTAGTGGATTCTCCACGGCGAGTTTCTTACTGACCTTCCTGCCCTCGGCGCGGGAGCGAGTTTTGTCAAAATATACGGGATACAGACATTGATAGTAACGGGGGATATCTCTATTGTCGATTTGGGGAGGGTGAGATTGTTGTGTAGGGGGTTGCGCTTGGGGCCGCGAGGACGGCCTTGATGTTGCTACTGAGGGAATATTGACAGGGGATATAATGGAATTCGCAGGAAAGTTGTTAGGATCGAAGTCGGCGGGATCCATGTCATCTGGATCGGAATCCGAGACCTCTTCCACTCGGGCATGGCGGGACATGACTGGCAGTCGGAGGTGTGTTCGTGGAGCTTGGCTAAAATAAAATATCTGTCTCCGCAATGGCTGCGGGACCCAGGGTTGTTATTCTTTCGCTCACGGAGTGTTACTTGGGACGGAATGTAGCGTCGTGAGGTATTTCGTTAGAAAATAGACCGGGAATGCTAACCAGGTATAATCCGTCAAGGTAGATGTACGTAGATGTAGTGTCGATTTAGATGTCGATTCAGATGTCGATGTGAGTTGGACGTGGCATAGAAGTTGTGTGGGGAGGAGGAATGGACGAGTCGGGACATGTTTGTGTGGTTTGCATGCGTTTTCACCTTAACAGTCCTATTTAAGTATATTTAAGTAGAAGGGCGGATCGGGACACCAGGATTCCTTTAAACTTCCTTCAATAATCAGAACTATGGTTTAAAGTATGATGGTAGTTTGGGATATTTACGAATATGGACCCAGCGGCCGTGATTGAAACAAATGCCAGCACCCCCATAACTACTCGTAGATCAGCAAAAGGAGCCTAAGCATCATGTTAATGACATACTCTGCCAGGCCCATGCCAGGGGTTTCGCGCTGTAGTTATCTATGTGCTCTTTCTTACAAGGTGAGTCACAGCGGCCAAGAACACAGCTCCCTTTGGTGATAAAAAAGGTTCGGTATGCCCCGTCTCGAAAAGAACTGTATCCTATGCAGTAGCACTAGAGGTATAAATTTAGATGGACAAGAGGTCAGATAAAACGACACAGAGGTTA